GATACATAATCATGTTTTATGTAATCAAGAAAGAGGGCGAAAACATAGGTATACAAAGCTAAGAAAAAAATAGAGTTATCCAAAACATTGTTTTGTGTTAGCATCAAAAAGGGAATATAACTTGTGACGATCCTATTTTCACACATAAGAGCTTCCCACTTTATTAAATACAATTAATTTTACATAAACATCCACACAATTTAGATAGAGAAATCACCTCAAATTTTTAGTTTTAGAGAGAGAAAGTATCTTAAAATTTTAAAAAGAGAAATTATATCAAATTTTAGAGAGGAAAACTACTACAAAAATTTAGAGAGAGAAAGTATCTTACAATTTTAGAGAGAGAAACAATATCACATTCTAGAGAAAAATTATATAAAAAAATTAGAGACAGAACCTTTCTAAAAAAAATTGAAAGAGAGAAATTATATCAAATTATAAATTTTAGACGAATAAAGTATCTTAAAATTTTAGAGAGAAAAAATATATCAAATTCTAGATAGAGAAACTATTAGAATTTTTTAGAGAGAAACTATTTCAAGGATTTTAGAAAGCAAAACCATATCAAATTTGAGAGAGAGAAAATATCTAAAAACGTTTTGGGAGAGAAACTATATCAAAATTTGTAGAGAGAGAAACTATCTTAAATTTCAAGTTCTAGAGAGAGAAAGTATATTAAAATTTTAGAGAGAGAAAAAATACCTAAATATTTAGAGAGAGAAAACATCTCAAAGTTTTTAAAGAGAATTTAACTCAAATTTTAAGCTTTGGAAAAAGACTATCTTAAAATTTTAGAGAGAGAAACTATATCAAATTTTGGATAGTGAAACCACCTAAATTTTTTTAGAGAGTACCTATCTTAAAATTTATAGTTTCCCTCTCTATAAATTTTAAGTTTTACAGAGAGAAACTACATCAAAATTTAGAGAGAGAAGTAACCTCAAACTTTTTGGAGAGAGAACTATCTCAAAAATTATAGAGAGATAAATTATATCAAATTTCAAGTTTTAGAGAGAAAATATCTTAAAATTTTATAGAGTGAAACGATATCAAGTTTTAGAGAAAGAAATTACTTAAAAAAATTAGAGAGATAAACTATCTCAAATTTTTTTGAGAAATTTTTTCAAATTTTAAGTTTTAGAGAGGTAAAGTTTAGTGAGAGAAACTATATCAAATTTTAGAAAGAGAAATTGCATGAAATTTTTTTGAGATAGAAACTATCTCAAAATTTTTAGAGGGAGAAATTTTCAACCATATGAAATTTCAAATTTTTAGGGAGAGAAACTAGTTCAAAATATTTGGAGAGAAACTATATCAAACTTAAAGTTTAATCTCTAAAAATGTCGAGATGGTTTCTCTCTAAAAATTTTAGATAGTTTCTCTCTTAAAATTTGATATAGTTTCTCTCTAAAATTTTGGTAAAACTTTTTATAATGGGAAAATTTTTTATAAGTATTGTTGCATACCAAATATGTGTAAGGTAATTTTCACATAAAATATTTTGTATGAAAATGTTTCATACCTATTAAATGTGTCCTAAATAGTATAAACCCAATTTACGCAAATAGATAACCCAAATGAGGGATTTTACATAACCTCAGTATTATCTTCTATCCAAAGAGCTATTTCTCAATAACCAGATTTTGGCATAACCAGGATAAACCTTGGGATGTCATTTCTTCGAAGCTGATATATATAGTGTATTGAAGAATTTCTTTAAAACTTGGGGTTGGGAAGATTGAACAATCAGAGGCAGTTTGGTAATTTGGCGATAAAATTTTCAAGCCAAATGATGGTAGTATTCCTCATTGTTCCATATTCGAAAAAATAGAACAATTGATGATGAAAAAGTGAGTTTCATGTTGCCAATCCTAAACAACTAGGGTATAATCATCATTTGGCAATTCCATGTTACTAACGTCCAACAACCAGGGATTTTATTGCATTTGATTCGGCCTAAAATGATGATAAATTACCAAAACTGGCCCTTATTATTTAGGGTTCCTAAAAGTGAATAGAAGCAATTTGAATTTTATCAATATTTTTTTTAAGAGGTACCTAACTATAATGAAATTTAGAGGAGAACATTTTAGTTGTAAATTTTCGGTTATTTGATCACCTTCATACTTTTGTAAGGTAAATTTGATATTTTTTTTTTTGGGTTACTCAAAAGTTACATCTTCTTGGGTCCTAAAAATACTCTTAGATAGGGGTAAATGTACATTTATTTTAAAGCATCTAACAAATTAAAGGAAGAAGAAATTAAATCCAAAATAAAAAGGAATATGCTACGATTGATCTTTTTTGAATTAGTCGAATGCTTTAAGCGCATAAGGCATTAAAACTATAAAATCAAATTAGAAATTTAATAACTAGCAAATAAATATAGATGGAAAAATGGTTTGTTCAAATCTTTTTAGATGCCTATCCCCAAAGTAAAAATATTATATAAACTAATATAAAGCATGAGGTCTTGGACATCAAAGAAAACTACACACTTTTTAAAAAAAAAAAGCAAATAGAATACGCAAGTATAACAAGGCAATGCAAAAAAAAAGAAAAAAAAAACGTCTTTAGGGATTTTGGATTTTTCCCTTGTATAAAGTTTGGCTGTCTATAGGGTGGCAAATGATAGAACCGACTCACTTGCTAAGAAGTGTAGTGCTTCAGTCCCTTCTAGTTTCTGATGTTCTTTTTCTTTGAGCTTCTTGTAATTTTTCCTTGAACAGTAAAATTGAGCACTCGTGTCAAAAATAATAATAAATAATAATAAATAATAAAAAAAATAAAAATAAAAAATAAAAAATAAAAAAAATAAAAAAAAATAAAAAAAAAGGAAGTTGGGCTGCCTCAATGCCTCTACATCCGAGCTGGAATGAGCACGTCTATGTCTGGTTTGTTCAAGGAAGTCTTCTTTCATGCAAATCCGATCTTCTCATAAGCTCAGCAAGAGAGAGAGAAATAGCAAAGAGGAATCACCAATTTCCGATTCACAAAAAAAAGAAACTTTAAGGACCATGGAGTGTAGTAATGGTGAATAAGGCGGATCAAGGGATGAAGTCCTCATTCTTCATCCCTCATTCTTTTGAGGATCCTGTGGTGTAGCAATGGTGAATGAGGCGAAGTTGATAGCTATTATACATAGATTAAAAAATATGAAGGAGAATACTAGTGGTAGTATAGCTTGTGTTAATGTTATAAATAAATAAATAAATACTAGTGGTCGACTCCCTAAATGCAAATAGATGGTGCAAAAATGGAACCAAGAATTCTTTGGATTTAAGAACTATGTTGTTTGAAATTCAGGATATGAGGTCAAGATTTGTTATTTCCATTTTGCATATCTATAAAGAGCTTAGTGGGGAGGCTGGCATGCTTGCTAAGCAAGCGGCCGATTGGGATTTGGTGGAGGCTAATGGGACATGGCTTAATGGTGTCTATGGTCTGGAATTGATTTGTAAATTTTCTCAATTTTAATCTATCTATATTTGCTCCTTTGTGATAAGTTAAATAATTTCAGAAAAAAAGACAAAAAGAAAAAAGAAATAGGATTGGAGACTTAAGTTATCAGTGAAGTAAGGAGCTAAATTTCTCTTGGAGCTAAATCATATTCTTCAAAATTAAATTTAGAATTTTTCTAACTTGACCAATTGAATAGTGAAAATAACACAACTTATTCAGAGTTGCAAATAAAGAACACATTGTTTAAAATTCCTAATGAAAAACAAAAGGCGCATTTATGTCATCTAATACACTCAAGGCATTTGAAGTCTAAACAACAAAAATACTCCTAGTTGATCCTCATTATTAATCTGCGTTTATATTAGGGTGTGATTTGTATAGAGCCGAAGCGCTAAACAATCAAAATAGAGTGCAAATTCAAGGAGTGTTAAGAAATGTGGTTTCAATACTAAAAATCTTTGTGATAGCCTTCAAATATATTTTCATATCTAATTATAAAATTTAAATCTCTAAAAGTAACGTAGATCGAGCAGATCTATAAAAATTTGAAAATCTTGAAAATTGACAATCAAAAACTTGAAATCTTTTTTATTTCTCCATGTATCTTGATGTCAAGATAATCAATTTGAAAATATTTGGACATCAATACATCGTCTAGTGAAACTTTTCAAGTGCGCTACAATTTGATCCAATTTGATTATTTAGTGCCTCAGCTCTATATAAACTTTTTTCTTTATATTATAATGTTGAACAAATACATGTAATGGCATCATTCAGTTGGGGCCTTTTAGAGGTCAAATTACTAAAATGCCCATGATCGATCATCCTTTCAATCAAGCACAATTAAGATATTCTTTTGAGGAAGTACACAAGTGAAATGAAAATAAACGATAACCTCAAATTTTAATTAGTATCATTTGACCCCTTTAACAAGTTTTTAAAGAGCTTCAACCCAATAAATAGTATTTTCCAAAGAAAAAAATATTTTCCATCACGAAACAAAATCCCCATGAGAGCATGATGCCCCAAAAAATTTCTCCCCCGCTCAATGTCTGTTCTCTCCACTAGAGGAACCTTGGAGAGGCGGGGGACAATGCATCACCGAATGTGAAATAACAGAGAGAGAGAGGGAGAGAGAGGGAGAGAGAGAGAGAGAGAGAGGAGGGTAGGGTAGGAGACACTACTACGTAGTAGTGTAGTAACTACCGAACCGTACACTAACTAAACGTACCGACGAACGAAACTAAATAATACTAACGAA